TATGTGAAATGTTGAAGGGTACTCTTGAAGAAGAAGAAGTGGAAGAAGAAAAATATTTTTAAAATGAACAATAAAATGGCAATAAATACATATATATCAACAATCCTAACTAATAAAGAGGGAATATGATAATTGACTGCCATGCCCTCAAAGATGGAGGTGCCCACAGCCACAGGATGGCAGTGCCCAGTCCTCTCAGCCTTGCTGAGGCAGCAGGCGAGTGGGGGCCCACACCCAGGCAGATCCGGCTGCTCTGCGTGCCTGCCTCCGAAGTCCCCCAGTCTCCTCAACCCTCCATCCACCCAGAGCTGGCCTGAAGCACAGGCAAGCCTCAGATGTCAGCTGCCCAGCTGCCCAGGTTCACCTGGGGCTCAGATAACCAGGGCCAGCCAAGGCTTGCGCTGCTGGCAGTAGCAGCAGCAGAGGTGTGATGAGGGCATCGCCTTCCCCTGATTGCCTGGTTGCCTCCCGCCCCTGAGGGCTCCCAGACTGTGAGAGGGGGCAGGCCAGTGTGAGGGACCTACCATGCAGTGCATGAATTTTTATGCAGTAGGCCTCTAGTTGAATATAAAAATCAAAATAAATAAGAAATCTAAAGAACAGAATAAACTGGTGAATAAAATAGAATTGGAGGCATGGAAATGGAACAGACAGATGATTCTCAGAGGCAAGAAGGGGGTGTGAGAGTGAGAAGAGATTTAACAAAGATCTTATATGTATATATGCATTACCTATGAACACAGATAATAGAGTGGTGAAGGGCAGAGCAGGAACCAGGCGGAGTGGGCATTAAGGGGAAAAAGAAGGACATCTGTAATACTCTCACAATAAAGATTTTAAAATAATAAACATTAAAAAATAAATTTGAGCCGAAGCCGGTTTGGCTCAGTGGAAGAGCGTCGGCCTGGGGACTGAAGGGTCCTGGGTTCGATTCCGGTCAAGGGCATGTACATTGGTTGCGGGTATGTCCCCAGTGGGGGTTGTGCAGGAGGCAGCTGGTCGTGTTTCTCTCTCATTGACATTTCTAACTCTCTATCCCTCTCAATTCTTCTCTTTTAAAATCAATAAAATATATTTTAAAAAATAAATAATTAAAAATAAATTTGATACATGCACAGAAACGTGCACAAGGATGCCCATGTGGTGTTATGCAGCAATAAATAACATACAGGAAAAAACACACAAAAAAACCCACATAGAACTCTGGGATGTGGAGCACTTTCCTCCTTTCTATCATATCTTTTCTTTCTATTTGAAATTTCAGAGGATTTGTTCTTCTTAGAGGAATGAATTCGGGACTCAAGGACCTGTAGGGGGGAAAAATAAAATAAAAGCAAACTTTAAAGACCATTAAAAAATTTGTTTTGTGTGCTAGGAAAAGGGAAAGGATGGATTTTGGTGACACCTGGCAGTTTCTACCACAGTGCTGGTGCCTCCTTGCTTTCATTGGTAATCACCTTCAAACATGGTTCCTGTTGTCTTTTTTTCAGGAGGTGCATTCAGTGTACAGAATTTTGGCTGGGATTTTGAATATTGGAAACATTGAATTTGCAGCTATTTCTTCTCAACATCAGACTGATAAAAGTGAGGTGCCTAATGCTGAAGCTTTGAAAAATGGTAATTATTTGATGCCTGTGCACTGTGTTGCCAAAGTACATCTTTCTTTCACGTTGGTAGTTTTTAAAGTCTCTATAGGAGATAGTGCAGCTGTTGCTGATTCTTCTGCTAGCTCTGAGTGTTTTCACTAACCAGTGTTTCCTGAAAGATGTCTTGTAGAACGTGAGCTGCAAATAGGTGTTCTGCAGAAAAGAATTTCACGGCAAGTAACTTTGGGCAGTGGTTCTCAACACTGGCAGCTTTTGAAAATCATCAATAATTTTTTGAAAATAATATGAGAGGTTGGATCCCATTTTAAATCCATTAAATCAATCAGCAGGGGAGAAAGCAGGCACCTAATTGTTTTTGTTTGTTTGTTTGTTTGTTTGATTATTTTACAAGTAGTAATGGTGATGCAAAGAAAGAGAATCCTGAGTTTACAAAAACCTCATTTAAACCAAATGAACACCTTTTGTGTTAAAAATACAGCACTTTTTATGGCCTGTAAAAGACTAATTTGTGTTATGACTCTCTAAGAGGATACTATAGTCTCCAGAAATTGCTCCAATTTACCTGACCAAAGCTACTTCCTTCCACTTTTTAAAATCTAACACCTGTGCAGAGCTTTCAGAACAGTTTGGGAGATACAAGGTCATCAGGATGCTCCTTGGGGTTAGGGACCTGGCTTGCTTATCTTGGACTTTGCAGTGCCAAGGATAGAGTAGATGTTGAACAAATGCTGGCTGGATGAATGAATAGATAGAATGGATGGATGGATTGAATAAATGAATGAATGGATGGATGGATGGATGATTCGTTCTCCAGTGTCAGCCTTGCCCTTCGTTACAGCTGCCTCTGTCCTCTGCATCCGCCCCGGAGAGCTCCAGGAGGCCCTCACTTCCCGTTGTGTGGTCACCCGAGGAGAGACCATCATCCGCGCCAACACTGTTGACAGGGCCTCGGACGTCCGCGATGCCATGTCTAAAGCCTTGTACGGGAGGCTCTTCAGCTGGATTGTAAATCGCATCAATACTCTCCTGCAGCCAGAGAAAAACATATGGCAAGTCCCGCCAGGGAGCAGAGGCCTCGGGAGAGCTGTCAGCAACCCCGGGGCCTCACAGTTTGCAGGACAAAACATTTGGTCCTCTGGGGTTTTCTTTAAGCGAAGCTCTTAGGTCTTCTTTTTTTAAAAATGCACTGGGGCCCTCGCTGGCTTGGCTCAGTGAATAGAGTGTTAGCCTGTGGACTGAGGGGTCCCAGGTTTGATTCCAGCAAGGGCACATGCCTGGGTGTGGGCTCGATCCCCAGCAGGGGGAGTGCAGGAGGCAGCTGACCAGTGATTCTCTCTCATCATTGATATTTCTATTTCTCTCTCCTTCTCCCTTCCTCTCTGAAATTAATTTAAAAAAAAAAAAATGCACTGGAGTCCAGGAGGGCCAAGTAGCGATACCTGGAAGACAGATGACTGACAGAGCCAGTACAGTGTAGTGTTGAAGAGAACAGACTTGGCTTGGAACTTGACAAACAGGATTGGCATCCAAGTTCTACAGCTTGATCAGCTGCATGTTCTAAGTGACGGTTTTCTCATCTGTAAAATTAGGATAATAATCTTCTTATAATTAGAATCAACTGAGACATTTCATGAAAAGTCTTAAAGCACAGGAACTTACATTATCACCACTGCTCCCTCGGTAGTGGGTGGGGAGGTGAAAGAATGAGAGTACAGCTCCCACCCATTTGGAGTGGTTCCTCTTTCCTCTCTTTCCATCTGGAGCTCCTACTGCTTTAAACAAGTTGGAAATACTGTTGAAAGACTAGAGGAACACATGGTTGAAGACACAAACTATTCCTTTCTTAGAGGCGGCAGAAAGCTACTTTCTGAGAGGGGGTACGTGGATTGATGAATACGTGGGCACATACGTACAGTCTCACTGTCCTCTGTGATGAATGTTTCTTCCCTAAAAGGTTGTATTCTCTCTCATGCAGTAGTGCAGATGGTGGTATGAATGTTGGGATATTGGATATTTTTGGATTTGAGGACTTCCGGAGAAATTCATTTGAGCAGCTCTGCATAAACATCGCCAATGAGCAAATCCAGTACTACTTCAATCAGCACGTTTTTGCTCTTGAGCAGGTAATAGTGAACTCTGAACTCAGTAAGCCTGCCCGGGGAAGGTGTCTCCAAGTTGCCCACAGTTTGAATCAGAAACCCTGTTAGGCTAACAGGTGAAGGGCTTTAAGGGGAAAAACCACTGGTGAGGCCGTTCTGTGAAAATAAATCAATGGTCTACGTTCAGCCTGAAAAACAAAGAAGTCTTGATTTTTGTGGGAAGGTACATTTCCTCCCTTGGATGGAGCTGGTGCTAAGCTAATTATTGAAATGTGGCTTCCCAATGGTTTCGTATGTATTGCCCCAAATGCTGGATTTTCTTCTGCTTTATTTAGCTAAAAATATCTGTGATCATGTCCAAAATGACATGGGACAATCTTGAATTCAAAACACAGGTTCTTAATGTTCTTAACTCTCAGGCTGGCGCCATCCCCCATCTCCAGCTCACCAGATCTTCCCTGAACTGATGGCTATCTCAGGGGAAGAGGATAGGTTTTCTGAAATGCAAGTCTCTCCCCAATGAGTTTAATGACAAATAAAACAGGGTGTGGAGCTAGTTGGACCCTTCGCTTCCACCCCAACCCCAAGACTCCCCTATATCAAATAGTTGCAATAATGAGACATTCTGACCAAATCCCTTGTTTTAACGAAGAAGTGGAGGGACACAAACTATAATATGATCAGAGAAACAGAGACGTGGAGTAAAAATGCCAATATAGATCTTATCTTTGGAGCTGGATAAATCCATACTACACTGCTCTCTCCTCTTAATCTGCCTCTCCCCCCATCCTCCCCCTTACCCCCCCCCCCCCCCCCCCGCACAAAATTTGATTTTGTTTCAGTTCAGGTCACATGCATTTATTTCCCAGAGAAATCTGGACTTTCTCTAGTTTTACAGTCCCAGGTGATCCCCTTGCAGAATGCTTTGCAAATTAGAAGCCTCCTTTCTACCCGGTTTAAACCATACTTGTCACACAGAAGAAAAAAAAAAAATTTTTTTAATTTAACTTCTTTTCCAAAAGAATTTCTAAATTATGTTACCAAATCAATGTTTCGTAACACAGAGAGCCATCTCTTCTTTTGCCTGCTTTAGCTGCCTGCCACAGGCCACCCGTAGGTCAGGCTTACACCAAAGCTTTCAGTGTTATATGCCGAAGGGCCCTTTGCCAGCATAGACACACCCTGTTTCCCACGTGTGCTCAGCGTTGCAGGACGGAGAAAGGTCATGCTAGGGCAGCCTGGCGGTGCCTCAGCCAGTTGGGGCTAGAGACATTCACACTCGGTTTCCTTCCAGATGGAGTACCAGAACGAGGGCCTTGACGCTGCCCCTGTGGAGTATGAGGACAACCGGCCCCTCCTGGACATGTTCCTCCAGAAACCCCTGGGACTGCTGGCGCTTTTGGATGAGGAAAGTCGGTTTCCCCAGGCCACGGATCAGACCCTGGTCGGTAGGTACCTTTTGGAAAGGGACACACACTCAGAAGAGAGCCTGGCTCATGTCATCCAATGAGTGTGGCCCAATGGGCCTATCCTGTGTATTTTAGCCACCCGGTGAGTTGTGAAAGTGCTTTTAGGGAATGTCCTGGTAGAATATTCATCTTAAATCTCTCAACCTTCCTCACTATCCTCTTTCTGCAAATGGAAATACCATGGCCCTATGTCAACATCGTTTTTATACCTTCTTTTCTGTCGTTTCCCACAAGCAATACTTCTTCCCCTCCATTTCTTCCCCTGCTCTCATATCCCCACCTGGACGCCCCTCCACCTGTAGGCCAAGTTTGTATAGAGGCCCCTTCTGGTCTCTTGGCATCTAGGCTTCTACTCTCCCCTCTATCCTGCACATCCTGGCTACATTAGTCTGTTAAAGCCACCCTTGGCAGGCAGCTGTCATCTGTGGCATGACAATAAAACACCTCCTCCCAGCATTAAAGGCCCTCCCAGCCCTGTTCCTCTTGGCCTCCTTCCTCTCCTCAGATCCTCGGTGTTGCACACCATCCTGGCCCTCACTTAGACTGTGAGGTGCTTGAGGTAGCAAAGCTCGAATCCTCGTATCCCTTTAGTACTTCACACCATTCCTCTCACAGAGGTGGCCCTCAGTCACAGCAACAGCAGAAGTGATCCTCAAGGAAGAACGAAGTTTCAGGTCTTTTCCCCAGATGGAAAATTGGTTTGTGGCAAGATTTGCCTCTAGGAGTTGAAATTGTCACCCTTGTTGGCTTCGTTTTATCTATAAAATTGTCACAAGTTGCCAGGATGAGTGTTTGCCTTCCACGGGATCTCTTCATGGTTCTGGAATTTATTGGCCGGAGTTCTGGTGTCATCACTGTCCGTGCTGCATGCTAGGAGTTCTCAGAGCAGAACACGAGTGCTCAGAGTATGGCCTGACACCAAAGACAATGTGAAGCCCTGGCCCGTTTGCTCAGTGGTTAGAGCATTGGCCTGTGCACTGAAGGGTCACAGGTTCAATTCCAGTCAGGGGCGTGTGCCTAAGTTTCAGGCTCAATTCCCAGCCCTGTCCGGTGCATGTGAGAGGCAACTAATAGATATGTCTCTCTCCCACTGCTATTTCTCTCTGTCTCTCGCCTTCCTTTGCACTCTGAAAATCAATGGAGAGAATGTCCTTGGGTGAGGATTGACATCAACAACAATATAAGGTTAATATCCGGCTCCTCTGAAATTCCTTGTTCTGGGTCACTCATGCAAGGAGCATGTTTTTGCTTGACAGAGGAAACAATTCACGCTCTAACTTTTAAACATGAAAATCCACAGATAAATTTGAAGATAATCTACGCTGCACATACTTCTGGAGGCCCAAGGGAGTGGAGCTGAGCTTTGGCATTCAGCACTATGCCGGAAAGGTGAGTTATTCATCCAGAAATGGACAAGGGGAAAGTGTCCATGTTACCCCAAAATTGCTTTCAGACTTCTGTCTCCTTTTATCTCTTCCCGAACACCTAGCCACAGCGCCCAAGCTTTCTCAGCGGTGCCAATCGCTGAAAGTTGCCCCTGGCAGGCAAGCAATTTCTCACCGGGGTGGCCGGCCAGCTGCCATTTGCTCCTCACCCCAGGGGGTCAGCCTTGAAGTGACAGCTCTTCAGAGAGAAAACATGGTCTAGTTTTCACGGTGTTTGGTGGTGAATGTTCACATTCAGGGGTCTTTGGGAGACGTGTCGGTAACAGAGGAAGGTTAGTATCACAGTGGGGATCCAGGTGTAGCACTTGAAGTCTATGGCCACAGGGCACCCAAAATGTCTAGATGAAAAGGGGGAAAAATTCACTGCGTCATCCAGATGTTAAGCTTTCACAACATTAAACAAAATTTCTACTTTTCATACATTTTACTACAGTCTCAATTTCAAGTTCCTGAAGGGGTTGAGAGACTAATTCAGGAAATTCTCTAGTCCCATAGCCAATAACTCATTGCCCAAGTTCCTTCAAAAGAAACAGTGGTATATGGCTAATTGGTTCTGGTGGGGGTCTCCTGAGGGCCTGGGCCCAGAAAATAGGTAGGACTCCAATAAAGGGCATTTTGGATTATTTTGTTGATTTGAGGTTTATTGAAATAATTTCTCAAATTCATATATGACATTAAAATAAATTTTACCTGAGTGAAGGCTGGTTGAAAGGCAATCTAGTACAAGTGAAAGGGCAGATAACCTTTCTCTTTTTCCCTTCTGGGTTCTTTGATTAAATTGGTATAAGGTACATTATCACAGGGGTGGGGAACTTTTTTTCTGCTAAGCACCATTGGGATATTTATAACATTATTCGTGGACCATACAAAATCATCAACCTAAAAATTAGCCCGCTATATTTGGTCAAACATTGAATTAACTCACCCCTAATACCTTGGGAGGTCCAGACCAAATGATTTCTCGGGCCTTATATGGCCCACGGGCCAGATGTTCCCTACCCCTGCGAGAAAAGGATCCTTTTCTTTCTGGGTGGTGTCCTTTCTGGAATTCATGTGTCTCTAACATTTCTCTGGAGCGTTCCTTAATGTTTCTCTGACATGGATCCCCTCTTCCTGAGAACTGAGAACTGCTCAGCATCCCTGAGCAATCACAGCCGTGAGTAGCACCTTGAGAAGCACTGAGAGTATAGTGGTTGTGAGCCTGGCACCAAATGGCCTGGGGTTGGATGCCCGCCCACTGCTTGAAATGTGTGATTTTTCAGCTTCTCTCTAAGCCTCTGTTTGCCCACCAATAAAATAGAGATAAGTGTTTACCCCATAGGATGGATGCTTCACATATAGTTAGTGCACAATATGTTTTTTTCTTTATTTTTCCCCCCATCACCATTTATCCTCCCTATATCCTATTCCACTCCCACAGGCCTCACCCCCCCCCCCCCGAGAATGCCCAAAATGTTTTAGTAATTATTCTGATGTGATCTTGATTTGACTCTTCAAAGAGCTCCTGAACAAGAAGTTAAGGTAAACTGGCCTGTCAAAAATTTCAAAATGTCCCCTTATCTGGTGGGCAGGATTTAAGAGCATGGTGGTGCCAAGATTAATTCTACACAGAGGTCGATGGATGACGACCTCAGACAGTTCGCCGATGTCACCAGTGGCGGACGGTATTGGCTAACCTGTAATTTGCTGTTCGTATTGCAGGTATCATACGATGCTTCCGGGTTTCTTGAGAAAAACAGAGACACCCTCCCTGCCGATGTGATTATAGTCCTAAGAACGTCAGAAAACAGGCTTCTTCAGCGACTCTTCTCAATTCCTTTAACCAAAACAGGTATTTGGAACCTCCCCTGATAGCCCTCAACAGATGCTTCTCCAAGCCCTGCTGGGGTTTTCCTGGTGTCTCTGTTCTGCCAGGACTGCAGCACTCACACTGAACTTCAAGCAGGGGTGAAGGTCTGACAAAGTTCAAGAAAAGGGAAGTGGTGGTTTCTTTTGCAATTTAATGTTATGTATACACTAGTAGCTCTATGTACAAATCTATGCGCCAGTAGCTCTCTGCTGCCCTCCTGTAGCTCTCCGCCTGCTGCCCTGCCCTCCTGTGCCTTCCCCCTTTCCCCTTCTACCTACCCTTCCCACCCCCTCATAGCTGCTGTCCTGCCTCCTCCTGTAGCTTTTCACTGCCCTCTTGTAGTTCGCTGCCTGACCCTCCTGCAGATCTGTGATAATTAGCATATTCCTCTCATTATATAGGACTAGAAGCTCAGTGCATGAAAATTCATGCTCACAGTGATCAGGGGAAGGTGATGCTCCCATCATACCTCTGCTGCTGCCCCTGTCGGTATTGCAAGCCTCAGCCAGCCCTCTAGCAGCCCTGGGCAACTGGGGGGCTGAGGGAACTGGGAGACTCTGGAGGCAGGTGCATAGCATCCCAGCAGGGCGCCACCATCTTGTGGCAGTGGGTGCTGCCATCTCTGAGGGTGTGGCAGTCAATTAGCATATTCCCTCCTTATTGGCTGTGGGCGCCACCATCTTTGCAACAGTGTGAGTGTCAATTAGCATATTTCCTCTTTATTAGATAGGATATGTACACATACACACACACACACACTTTCTCTAACATGAACTCTCACACTTCTCATTTTCTCTGCCTGCTTCTTTTCATTCTTGCATTTATAAAACCGTATGTTATTAATTCATGCTAATACTCTAACATGGTCTCAGTTTACCTAGCATATTAGGAAGATTATTCCTATTCATGTATGATTCCAAGTGAAGGGAGTGTAGGAATCAAAGCCATTCAACCATGGGGTTCTCAGAGGTTACCTGGTCCAATTTCCCCCCCAGTCATCGGCCACGCTCCTCTACTCCCCTAACCAACGTGGGACTGGTCCATTGCTGGCCTATATCCACTACGTCCACAGCCTATGCCTACTTACAGTCAACTTACGTTTGGTTGCTTAGTCAGTTCTCATGCCAGGAAGCAGGAAGTTGCTGATCTTTGCCAGATGAGTTTTAATTGGGTCAAGTTCCTTTGATTTACTTAGGATTCTGCTGCTTTTAGCTGGGAAAAATCAGATCTTCCCACAGTTGTCCTCTCAAGGGTTTTTTTGTTTGTTTGTTTGTTTGTTTTTTTCTATATCTGGAAACAAATATGGGTATACTTTTAAGAATGGAGGGTTAGAAACCTCTTTATCATTGTTCATAATTTCCTCTTCTTTTCCTCCCACATCCCTCTCGAAAGCGTTGGCACCCGTGTCTAGCATGAGACCTTTGCATGTTAAAAGAGAGTGGCTGCTAGATCTGATTTTCATCAATGTGCAGAGGAATCAAAAGCTGGGTTAAGAAAAAAGCCACGGTCTACAACCTTTGCTTTATCTTAACTTGGGAGAAAAGTTGAAACCAGGGTCTTACCTTTATTCAAACAAGCTCCTTTAAACAAAATAGTAGGGTGCCCACCAAAAGGCTGCCCTCTAGCTTCCTCTCCAGACCTCCCTTGGGCATAGTCAGGATTTGATTCATTATAAGCTTCTGGAGAATGGGCAGGTGTGGGCAGGGCTGGTGCTTCCTCATAGGCGTAGACTCATCAGACGACTCTGTGCAGAGGAGAAGATAAGCCATTATGAATAGGAGATGTACTCTTTGAAATAAAATATATCCAGGGAACTTGCCAGTTGACATTAGCACTGTCCCATAAATATAAATAATGATTTGTCAAATCTGTTCACAGCTTTGGCATTTCCAATTTTTCAACCTCTGGCAAAAAAATTTTAAAAGTACACAGTCTACACCACTAGGTGGCGCTGTGTAAGAAATCAGGCTCTGCCTTCCACTGGCCCTGATCACTTAAAAGCAGGAACAAAGAGATTCTTTTTTTTATGTTTTTCTCTGAAAGAGCTTTCCTCCTGTCTTTTAACTCTTCCTGAATCTTGCCTTAATGCTGCACTCTACGCCAACTGGAGGGAACTAAAAAGTGCCTTCCTGAGAAGCTTCCTTGTACTCCTGACTTGTACATTATACATAATATTTTTTTGAAATCCCAAGCTTTATTTCCTCTACAGTTTGAGTATAAGTAACAAGCCACGAATACACATCAAAAGTAATAAGCACGATTCTGTTTTCTTTTTCTGAAATTATTCATGTAAAAATGGCTTCGAACAACAAGCATTTATAGGACAGCTCCTAGTTGTACTGTTTAGGCAGCAAAGGAGAATACAGAGATAGAGATAATATGGCTTTGCCTGAGAGCCACTGGAGCGTCCTTTTACTTTAATTTTCTGCCAAGAATTAGATATTAATTTATCTACTTACAACAATATTTGTCCTCAAAACTCAGCTCTAAAGAGATTGTACATCTTATGTTATAGGTCAGACCATTAATTAAGCTTCTAAATTTTAAAACATCTATATTATATATTTTTTTGGATTTATTATATTACAGCCTTTGAAGGTGGGAAAACCTTAATGGACAGAAGTAGGTGGTGCTGCTTTTGCTGAAACTGCAAATACATGTTTAAGGCACAAGCCCCTTAGGAAGGGAGACCTGGCTGTACATCCCCCAGTGTTCTGGCTGAAGCTGGGTCCCACATACCTGGTGTTTTGGAAAAGAATATGCTAATATTTTCAATGCATGAGTAACCATTTTTTTGGTCATCGTTATCTTGCTTGAGACCCCCAAATACTTAAATGCAGCACTGATTCAGTGAACATGGATGTTATGGGCGATGACTTCATAAACTTTTAGGGGATGAACTACTGAGAGGAAGGAAAAGGTCAAATTTGAGAACCCTTGGAGTCTGTTAATCCCGAACTTAAGGAAGAGGCCCAGCACTGGGCCCTCAGGTCTGAGAGGAAAGGTCAGTCTCTGTGGGATGTCGGCAATGCTCTGGCAGCTCCTGGTCCTGGAGGTGGCTGCATGGATGTTGGTTTTATAGCATTTATTATGCTGTGCATTTACGTTTTGCACACATCTCTGTGCATGCAGTCTGTTTCACAATGATTCTTTTCTTCCCAAAATATAGATAAGATACCTTAGAATCTTTAAAAAAACAAAAAAAAAAAACAAAAAAAACACAAAGCCTCTACTTTTTTTACCTAAGGTTTCCTGTCCAGTTGAAGTTTACCGCTAGCTGGATGGTGGCTGTCCTTGCTTCCATTCACAGGCATCGGACCGCCTCGGGCTAACATTCCTGTCCTTTAAACCAGCTTCCTCTCTGGGCTGCTGGGCAGGTAACCACCCCTTCATTAGTGGATATCAAACAGAAATGTTGGTCTTTGGTTTAATCCGAAGGTTGAGAGGATTGATCTCTGTGTGTGTCTGTGTAAAACCATGACATACAATCAGGGAGAGGAATGCAATTGGCGTTTTCCTGTTTCCTGTTCACATTGCACATCCCTACATACTGGAAAGCACAGAACATGAATCCTGGAGTCATCAGCGTCTCCCAGGTTTCTGCAGCCCCCCCCCCCCCCCCCCCCCGCTCCTCCCAGCAGCAGCTCCTGCTGGCACACAGCTGCCTCTTACGGGGGCCATGCCTCCGCCTGAGGGGCACACTTTGATTCCAAGGTACTTGGCATCGATTGGGTAAATGGAGGCAGCTGCAGTCAATATGGGTTCTCTCAGCTCCCTCTTGTACGACCACGTTAGGCCTGCTGATGGGCCACTTCAGAGGTGATGAAATTTTCTTTGTAATTCTTCCTACTGATAGGAAATGCTCTGAAGTTTTTATGCGTGAAAATTTGATGTGGCAGCAACACTGCTTTCTAACCCTTCAGCTGGGACTTCTCAAACCGAATGATCTACGTATAAAAACATTAAAAGGAAAGATATTCTAACAAAGTCTCATGGCATATTTTCCTGTTTGGCAATGCTCCACTCGCTACTAGTAAACTGGAGAAAAGTTCAAAAGGCTCAGGGGCAGGAAGAGAGGAGGAGCTTTCAAAAGGATCCCGAAAAACCCTTTTCTGCCTTTGAATTGTGAATCCAGACTTCCAAAGAGTAATTTGGGGTCTCAAAGGCTGTAGGAACTTGGGAAAAACTATCAGAAATAAGAGTAGCTCCAGAGGGAACATCGTCTGAGCCCGAAAGTCTGGTTTTTGCATCAGAAGCTAGAGCTGATCTTTGTCTCCACGGGCTCCTTCAGATCTCTCCCTTGGAATTTGATTTACAGTAAAATCAACAGCCAAGTCTCTCAATCTTGACATCCACCGGCTCCCCTTTTATTTATGTTTGTTAATCTTTACCTGAGGATATTTTCCCATTGATTTTTAGAGAGTGTGGAAGGGAGGGAAGATACACAGAGAGAAACATCAATGTGAGAAAGACACATTGTTTGGTTGCATCCGGCATGTGGGGGACCGAGCCTACAACCAAAGTTTGTGCCCTTGGCCAGAATCAAACCCAGGACCCTTTAGTCCGTGGGCCGGCGATGCTCTATCCACTGAGCCAAACCTGCTGAGGCCTGACTCCCCTTTTATTTGGATGTGAAAGGGGCAAGATGAGCCTCTGTGTTGTATCTGCAAAGCACTGTAACGCTTTCACTACTAACTTGCTTGTTGATTGTCTGTTCCTGATTCTGTAGATCCCCAAATTAAATGCTTTAAGAGCTAAGAGGAGCCATTAGTAACCATCTCTGAAGTTTCATTTTCTATTTATGGCTGCTCCTCCATCCTGACAGTTCAGCTAATGAGTTCAGCAGGATGAGCTGATGCTAAATGACCAAGTTCCAGGGTCAAGGATATGGACGGTCCTCGGCTCTTCCTGAAACGGAGGCTGTAAGGAGCCAGACCTGGCAGGGGGCCCTGGTGAGTCCGTTCCCCCGCACAGAGACCCAC